GGTTGATCCATCATCGAAGGCAGAGAATTGTAAAAACAAGGACACAGACAAGTAGAATGAGCACGCCTAATAGGAGAGTTTCACAGGTAACCCTTGGGCTACATGAAATCTTTTTTGACTGGAGGAACTTCATCTGCTATAATTTGAAACTAAAGAAAAGCATTTGTCTTCTCCAATGAGAACTACAAGTTCAGGTAAAAATTCTAGTCGTGTTTTCTGTATTCAGTTTCAAACAAGATCATTGATCATCACAAACAATATAAGATGCAAGAACCACATACCAGTTCTCTGTACCGTATACACATCACAGCCAAAAATTGATGATATACAGGTCAGAATACTTTTATTTGCTGATGCTCCACCAGTGGCTATGATTCTTTTTGGAGGAGATGGCATCCCAAATCTTTCTGCATGAGCTCGCATTGAGAGCAATTGGCCCTCAATCAATGCCCGGACCTGTATATGGATTTGTTTGATTTTCTGAGAAAAGAAAGGTTGGAGAACCTAGCTGGCCCATGAAAACAGATTATTGAAAATTACTAACCTCAGAAGGAGGCTCAAATTCCTTAACTTCAACTTCTTTCAAGCCATCCAGAGTTTCTCCAGTGAAATTTTCAAGAATGTAGCGGTGGAAACCAACTGAATTTACAAATTAGAGTCAGTTTATTACTTGATGCATTTTTATATGATATCAATGTAATGTTACATAAACAAGGGAGCAAATACAACTATAGATTATCAATTAAAACTACTTTTGCAATACAAAACAAGCACCCCAAGCCTCCATTCGATGGGTGTCGCTATACAGGCTTTTATGAGTCATAGAATTACTTGGGTCTAAATTTAATGTGACAGGAAAAACATGCCCTTTTTTAATTTCCAATAACATTGAGAAGAGGAAACACAGAGAGATAAGACTAAAACCATTGATAAATTTCAAATCTTTTGCATGATTTTAGTAGGAGAAAAGCCATAAATGACAAACTCGCCAATGTATAAGCAAATATAATGAAGAAAAAAGAAAAAAACTGACCTGGTAGAGGAGGAAGAATTTCATGCTCTGTGTAGTAGAAACCCATCTTCCCACCTATTGTAGGAACGAGATTTAGTAAACAGAGAACAGATGCAGCAATCATCCAGGAAAAGTAATTGGAAGAATGCATTTACAAACCATTTAGAGGCAGTGTTTGATCCAGAAACTTATCAAAAACTTCCCAAGATTTCTCCGCGCAGCGGTTACGCACATCTTAAATTAAATTTTTGATCAGATTGGGGACTACTGTGTGGCTTTCATTAGAATGCATTAAAAATAGAGATCGGTTTTACCTTCACGAGTCAGAGAAGCATTTTTATAAACCAACATTACCATATAGCCTTTTGTGTCAACAGGATTAGGAAAAACATGACCCTCTAATCTAGGTTGGGGATCATCAGTGATCCCAAAGACCTGCAAAAACCAGGATCAGATTTGAAGTAGAACATAGTGACCAGAGTCCCAAATAACTAAAATAAAGCCTCAACAGTAGGGCCACACTATATCTCATATAACAGGTGTGAATTAATTGCTGAGGGTCTACAAGAAAGAAAAATCAAATTCCAAGGCATTTGAAAGGCTAGATATATTCTTACAGTGTCACTGGTGCCAAGACTAATTGCCAGATCTCCAGGAGTGCTTAGTGTCAAACCTGCAAGTTTCAGGAACTTCTTGTTGACAAAAGATTAAGACAAACAGATAAACATGCACTGAAGAGGAGGATTGGCAAGAGAAACAGAAGATATTGGACAAATTTCACTTTAAAATTTTGTAGAATGTAGCTGCGAAATAAGTCAAATGCCAGATAGGTTGAAAATAGATTTTAGAAAAGAAATATGAAAAGCTCAAAGTATAAGGCATGCAGGGATATAAGTCTCTTTTGTAGCCATTGCTTCACATATGCATGCCTTTTATATCTACCACTAGTAACAAACCTAATCCAAACAGACACCACTTACAATATTTGAAATGGACTGCCCATAAATCTTTATCCTTTGTTTTCTACCATCACTAATGCAGAGTCAATAGCAGATGCTCTTTACCTCATTATTCTGTCTTAAGATTCTAAATTTTCAGAGGCTATGTGAAACGGCGACAGATATAGATGTGCAGGTCTATCTGTACATGTGTTTGGTTTCTGTCTCTCGTTTTTAATCATCATGGAGAGTCCTGTAGGCATATGCAAACCTAGTTTCTTCTCCCTCTTATTATTTTTTTTTTAATGACCAGTATTTGACTCCCAATTTTGTGCTCCATACCCTATTTCATTTATGAGCAGTACTACTCTTACAAAATTTGTATACAAAGTTAATTATACAAAGTGATGCAGCATTACATATTAATTGACACATCATATACATGCATTTAATGAGTTGACTTTACATCTTTACTTTCCCAATCATGATGTGATACATCACTTTGTATATATACTTTGTAAAAGTAGTATTATTCTACATTTATACACAAGTGTCAATTATGACAAATGCAATATCTGAATACGCTCTAAAAAAAACATAGCATAAAGCCATGCTAGCGGTAAAAAGCAACGATGTCATGTATCAGCAACAGCAACTTCAACAAAAAATCCACTTAGTGGAACTGCACAAACCATTAGAACACATGGTACAGAAATTGATGATGAACTGGGTAATTAAAATGACATACAAGATATCAAAAGGAGTGTACTCAATAAAATAGGAGCGGGTTAAATAAAATAGCAGAACTTAGAGATAATGAGAATCCTGAACCTGCTAAACTGTTAGGGTTGTCTCCCGACCACTGAACAACCAAGCAATTCTTATTGAAATGATACCTGGAAGAAGTAAATGAAGTTAGATCCATAAAGTAAGTACTTGAACAGCAAGGTACCACAAATATATGCGGATTAAATCAATTACTTATAAACTGAAATTTGGTTGGATGACTAGTATAGTGGCACACAGTAATTTTTATATTCTTAGTTCACCTAGTTTTTGGGCACAAAAAATATCCATAGCCATGTTACTCACAAATTTGCACGGTGCAGAGATGCACAAATGGGCTTGTTCTTGCCATTTTAATAGCGAAGCATATCCATAGTAGATGCCGACATGTTGCACTTTTGTATCACACTGGAAATTTTTAAGACAACCTTTATGATCAGGAGTTCATTGGCTTTATTTTTGGGTCTTAACATACTTCTTGTCCACTTAAGTTGACAACAAGATTTCCAAACACATCCATTTCTCTATTTCAGTAATCCCTCATCCATATTCATATTCTCAAGCCAATAAACATAAAAACAAGAGGATGAGAAAGCTTAGCCAATGAGAGGAAACATATTGGAAATCTCAAAAGAATATCACAACAAAAGTGAACTAACAAACACTCTGCTACTAACCTCTCCACAAAGTAGGGTGCAATATGACCTGCAACAGCATGGGCTGGCGCTATCTTTCCAAGTTTTTTCTCCAAATCTGGAGCTGTAGCCTGTTAACAGTAAAATTCAACAAACTTGAGCTACAATGAAGCAAGAAATGTACCAGAGAACTATGAAACAATAGTCACAGCAAACCTCTAAAGCTATTTTAGACCATGCTCTTTGCTTGATATCCATCAAGTTCATCCCTGCACCATCAGTTTCGTCAATACAAGCGTAAGCCCCAATCAGGAGGGATGCCATAAAAGAGCTAACAAGGGAAATCCTCTCAGTATTCTCATAAACATCTTTCTGCGTTTCAAATATCTTCTTAATCTGTGGTCCAGTGTATCTTTCATGAGCACGTGACCCTGTAAGTTTGGACAACTCCAGTGCACCACCAACAGCCTTCTCTATCTCCCTACATTGAAGAGTGGTGCTGCTATCCATCCATATAGGAGATTCATTAATCGAAAAAGCACTGCCAAACTGATCAACCAATGGCTTCTTTGGATCCAGAGAAAATAAAACTGCAGCACTACCATTCTTCCAATAAACACTACCATGCTGCTGTCCACTACCAGAAACAGCAGCAATTTTCGAGAAATCTAATTTTGATTTCAAGAATTTTTGAAGAATGAGATCCAAAGCTTCCACCCACATTAAGGTGGGTGAAACAATTCTTCCATTAACTGAAGGATCTCTATAAACTCCATCTTTGGTCTTGTAGTGGGGCAAATCAGAGTCAAAATGAACTAGCTCTGAAGTGACAATGTTGAGATTGGAATCCAAGACAGTTGCCTTCAAGGACCTTAAAAACAAACAAACAAACAACCTCAGTCAATCAAAATTACATACAATATTGATTCTATACATAATTCTCAGGAGAAATCAATAATCATAATAAAACCAAATCGGAGAAACATCAAAAGACTGACAAATAAAATGTTTTGTCACTTACCAGACAGATTATTTAATGAGTCTCATAGAATTCAAATAACAAATAAACTTATTCCAAAGAAAAATGAATAATCGAATTATAACCCAATAGAAGAAAGATCAATATTAACGTAAAGAAGCGAGCACAAAAGGCTGATCAGAACAGTTTCATTCCATTATATTACACGAAAATTAAAAATGCTAATATTATGAACTAAATTTGGCAAAATCACAGGAAAAAAAAAATATTAAATAGAGCTAACAGTGCCCAAAAGATAAAGACTTACTGAGTAGAGCTGTCAAATCCGAGGAAAAAAGAATCCTGTGGGAGAGAAAAATCTTCCATTGTTGAGTTAACAGAAGAGACTTTGGGCTTGCGCAGTGTTTCAGTTTATCCCTATTTATATTGTAGTAATAGTAACCGTTTGACTAAAAAAAATAAAATCTGTCTCGATATTTAAGGAAATTTTAGAAATCATGTCATATTTCCTCCCTCCTTTGATTGTGTTAATTTGAGTGTTCGATTTCATAATCAAATCTTAGGGATTTTATGTGATTTTTTTTTTNATGCTAAACCATATTCATAGATCCCAAAAGTGTCATTTGGTTTTTATTAGGTCCTATAGTGATTGCTTCCCTTGATCAATTTCTTCTGCAGTAATCGGATCTGCCTCTGTTTTTTAAGTGATGATACTAGTTTGGGATGCCTTTTAGATGAGACTGAAAAAGATAGTAAACAAATAATAATATGTGATGTGTAAGAGTATTTGGTTTGTATGCTTTTTGGTTGAAAATGCTCCATCTACATTCTTTCTTTTTTGAGTTTTTCCAAAACTCTTTTTTTCCTTTTGCCTCACTTGGCGAACATCTTTTTAGCCACGTGAATCTCCCATATTTAGAGGTGTCAGGTTGACCTTGTTGGAGGTAGTGATTAGGTTGGGGTCTATCTGTTGCTCAATCGCCTAAAAGAAGAAAAAAAAAATGTTTGTGGTTTCCAGATTTAACATGATAATTGTTTAAACTTCTAGCATTAGCTTTTGTGTCTCTTTGGTTCTTATATTGCAGTTCACCCCTTCACATGCAGGGGCTATCTTTTCTCCTAGCCATGGTACTCAAAGTGCTCAGACCAGATCGATATTATGATAGTGATGATGAATATGCTCCTGATAGGGTTCCACTCCTGAGGAATTTTGTTCACCCACCGACCTATGTGGTTGGAGACCCTGTTTATGGATCCAAAACTGATGCTTGGACTATCAGGATTAATGAGAAGGTAGAAATGCTTTACCTTTCCATCAACCTAACTGCTTAATATAGGCCTATATTTTTGTAAAATGCTGTCATGATATTTACCGTATCCCAGTCAATCATTATTTGTTCTAATTCACTCGTTTCTTTTTTCATGTCTTTGACTTGAATATATCACTACTTTTGATATTGACACTATAGGTCCTCAACTCCTCATTGCATATTCCAAGTCAGTTTCCTGCAATGCTTCATTCTGTGCTTTGTAGCTGCATGCGCATATTGACATTTTTATCTGATATTTCATTTTCACAAGCTTAGACTATAGAAGCAGTTTCTACTTGTTAACTTTTCTGTAAATTCAGTCCTTTCCTCTTCACTGGCTCTCTCTGAATGGGTAGTGACTGAAGATAAGAAAAAATAAACTTACTTGCATGTCTGCGCTGGTTATCTCACTTATTAAAAACAATGTCTGTGCCATTGATTTCTTGCCTCATTGCAAGCCCTAATTCGATTTTATTATTTCTGTCTGTTCCAAAATCTTTAATTTTAAAATATAAATCTCCCGACTTAGTTTGATTATTTGGATATTTCTTTCTTCATCCTTTTTCCTCATTTTTCTTTTTACCATAATTAGGCAAACAGGTGACAAGGGTTTGACCTCAAACTCGGATGATGGATAGGAAATGGAAGTGTTACTATCTAATTCCTATCGGCCCAGAGCAGGATGAAATTCAATATAAAGGTTTAAGGAGGATAAGCTTCTGACCAACTTTGAGTTGGTGGAATTGTATTTCCTTGTATAGACACTGCCCCAATCACAGTTTTGGGTTTTGAATGATCGAAATATTATATGTTATCTGAAAAACCGTATTTTTTGAATATGAATAATAAAAGGTTTGAGAAAAATTTTAAATGTCTTCAAGATGATGCTTTTCTTCCCTATTTGAATGATTGAAATATTATCCAATGTTTTAAAATCCAATCGGGATGAAACCTGGCAAAGTTTTCGGGTCCTAGGTGACCGGTTTGACCAGTAAATACACTCTTGAAATTTTAAAATTTAGCAAATATACCCCTAAAAATTATGTTAAGTCTTTGTAGGTTGGAAATTTAGCAAACACACTCCAAATACGAATCGGCCAGCAACTGTTTGACGGCAGTGACACCCCAAATGGAACTTCAATCATCCCTTGAGCTCATTCCCCTGAAAATCTATCAAAGATCTGGTCGATATCGATTCGATTTCGGTTAAATCTCACCAACACTAACATCGTCAGCAGCATTCCAAGCCAGATCTCATCGACGTTGGCATCAACAACCCTCCTCATCACCCCGAAAATACTCCCCTCTTCCTCCCAACCAAAAGCCACCTCACTCTCCCCCCTTTAGCCTCGTCAGTCGCCGATAAAAGCTTGTCGTTGCTACTGCCAATGCTTTTTAATTTTCGGCCGCCACCATTACACTCATTGACACCTTCTCTTTAAAGCCCCAACATCCTGGCCTTCAATTGTTCGTCAATTGTCATCCCAAATTCTAAGGTTTTTGGTGAATAAGAATAATGTAAACCCAACCCGGTGAAGCTTTTGGGTCCCGATTAAAACGGTAGGGCTGGATCGGGTTTTAAAACAATGATATTATCATAATTTTCCATATAAACAAAGCACGTTTGTCTACATAACTGTTGGAGAAGGCTGTTTTCGTAAACAATTCATACAAATGAGATATTCTTATTGGATCTTTTGAAAATTTTATTAAATATTATAAAGAATGTGTTACCATCACCCTAATTATGTGTTTGGTTGAGGGTAATCTCCTATCACTGAGGTAATGTCATCTTATATTATTTGATTACTACGTTTGGTTGTCAAGTAATCATTGTTTTAAAACCCCACCCGTTGTGAGACTTGGTAAGGTAACTGGGTCACGAGTCGACCAGTTCAACCGGTTGGACCAGTGATGTCAAAAATAGTTTTATTTTTTTAAATTATAAATTAATCTCTTAAATTTTAGTATATTACAAAAATACCCTAAAAATGTCAAATTAGTCCCTAAAATTTTTATTTATTTAAAATGCCCCAAAAATTACCAAATAACCACTAAACTTTTGACATATCTCCAAAACACCCCTAAAAATTACTATTAGTCCCTAAAAATTTGAAATACTACAAAAACTCCCTAAAACCTAAATCGGACTGGAGAATCATCCAAGTCCCAGTTGGACCGGTCCGGTCCAGGTTTTAAAACAGTGCAAGTAATATAAGATTTCAATAATCTTCCAAAATCAATAGTAATTATTGTTGGTAATATAGGAGGTAATTTTATTACCTATATTTTCTTAGGCATTTTAAGATTACTTAGTAATCTTAATTTTGTTATTTTACCCCTTATTAATAAAATTTTAGGACAATAATGCCTTGTTATCTAAACAATTTACAAAAAAATTATGGACAATTTTAACCTCATACTCGGTATTTTTAAGACAGAAATACCCTTGTACATCAACCAAATTACCCAAGACCATAGCCACCACCTCAACCACCTAAGACTTAAGAGGACTGTCGGCCGCCAGCAATCACCAGAACGACACACGGTCAACCGGATTTGGTTGGCTGTGTGTTGGTCAAGTCATTTTTGTCAAATTTGGTTCTGAAAAGGTCAGATATTTGGTCGTGAAATGGTGGCCTTTTCACAACTAGATCTGGTCGAAAAATGGCCAGAAACGACCTTACTGGAGCACAACTGGTTAGATCAGGCTAGTCATGTATCATTACGACGACTATCGACAATGACCGACGGTGATGGCTGGCTGCCAGTAATGGTTGGGGTGGGTGTGGGTGATTTTGTTACAAATTAAAGTTTTATATGGCTAAGGTGTTTTAGCAAAATTTCAAATGTTGAGGGTTAAAAGAAATGATTCAAATAATAATAATAACAATAATATTATATTAATATTTTAAAAGGAGGGTAATTTAGTAATCCATATAGCATACTCACCAATTTATCCTCCCAACCAAACACATCAATATAACATATCCACAAATTTATTTCAACCTAACAAACACATTTTCCTAAACATTCCCAATAATCTTTAAAGTAATCTATATTTTCATTAATATAACATTCTCCGTAATACAGTATTATTTGGACCAATCGCGCCTTGAGTGTAATTTTTCTTTTGTCGATCATATTCAACTTAGAGTTGGTGCTCAAGTTGACAATTCTAGTTGAGACCAGTTGCCTCGCTTTTGAATACAAAAACATAGTCTACACAAACATGACAAATATATGTAGCCCGTGGGAAAAATGTATAAATATTGAATGCACCACACAGGAAAATAACTTGGTTATTAGTATTGGCAAATGTTTTTATAGTATAATTATAGAAGTCAATCTGCAGCACAGTTTACAGAAAATTAATAAAACACTAATATTCTTAAGAAATGATGCTAACTAACTAAGAATTGGTGGAACAAAGAAGGTGCAGAAGCGGTATGCAGCATAATGGCCTAAATAGATAAAGAAATAAAAGACCATAACCAGAGTTTCCCTCAGGGGTGAAATCAGCACCGCCATGGATACTGAGAATTGAATGCAAAAACAGGTGTAGTGCAAGATAATAATTGGAATAAAAGCCCCTAAGGTATAACTATGAAGTTTAAATAATATGGAGGAGGAATAGGCGATTTCGAGCATGGCAATACTGATAGCCACAAATGCATATCCGGCAAGAACCAATAAAGATGCAAGATTGGTGTGAATTAGTTGTGCCCAACACAGTAGGGTGGCTCCTATCACCGCAGCATTCATAGCAAATGTGTCCGAAACTGCAAAAAGCTGTAGCGCTGATTTCTCAACTTTTTTAATGGTTGTTTCATTTAGATTAAAGAGATAAGTAGTGTTATTGTTTTTTGAATCATCACCACCCTTATTGTCACCAATATCACTACTGCCTACTTGAACCGAAGCAGCAAACGCCACGCCAACTACAAGTGTTGCTACCACAAGAAAAGCATTTATCTTCTGATAAACATCTTCTTGTTCTGTTGCCTTCTTGCTTCTAACTTTATAACGTAGATCTTCGATTGTCCTTAACCCACTGTTAATTCTGTATCTACGAAACACAGCAAAAAGATGCACCAGAAATAACACAGATAGCGTCGTAAGCTGCATTTCAATTTCAATATCAAATTATATATTAGACTCAAGCCACAACATATAATTGTGAGATAATGTGATAAGTAATATTATTTTATCATTAATTAATGATATAATTCCTTCAAATCACAGAGAAAATTCTTACATAGTAAATTTATGATACTAATTAATGAATAGTTGGTTTAATTTTGAAAGTTTCATATTGGTCTATACCATTCCAAATGGCGTTGGTGTGGAGTGATCTACTTTTGCAGAAGGTTTCTCATTCTTAGTCACACCATCAATCTTCGCATCAACATGTTTGTCCTGCATCACCTCAGAAAATTAGGCATGATGAATTGACTCAGGCTGAATAAACAGAGTGTACAATAAGTAACGATATATAATACAAATAAGGGTTGATTGTTTATCATTTGAGTCGTTAAATTGTAACTTTTTTTTTTTCTTCCTATTTTTAATTATCTAACTAGAAAATCAGTTAACCATGCATGCATTCATACCTTCTCAGACTGTTTATCAGGTACCTCTTTGTTATTCTCTTCATCTAGCATTTCATCAGATTGCTTCACGACATTTAAAGCAACGTCGTAGGCCGTGCGGCCTGTCTTGTTCTTAAGAGCTGCGTTTCTTCGCTTGTCGAGCAAAGAGTGCCCACCACCAAGCAATGGCCATGCCTTGCTGCTAAATGCAAAGGTGTATTTCCATCGCGGTCCTTCATGTTAATAAGCATATCCGAATCCGATTTGTTCCACTTCAATATGTGCCTTACCAGATACTCGTTCCCACTCTTGGCCGCGACGTGAAGAATGCTCCGGCCTTCAGCATCGAGAATTTCATTTGGATAAGGCCATTGTTCAAGCAACGCCCCCACAATTTTGACATACCCCTTTTCACTTGCAACATGGATAGCATAGGAGCCTTGTTTATTTTTACATAAAACGTTATCACTCATAATTTCTAAGAGATAACGAACTTCCTTCAGATGGCCTGTGGATGCTGCACTATGAAGTAGAGTGTTCTCAGCTTCATCTCGTGCTTCTAGTAGCTTCGGCTTCTCCTTATGAATTAATTCCAATGCCTCTGTACGTAAAATAATTAAAAATAATAATTACATCTAAATAGATCAAACAGAAGATTAAAAAACTCAAAATTTCAACGGATTGAGAGGTGGAAGTATCCACCTTTATTTAATTTATCCTCAGCCATGAGTTGCATCAGGCACTTTGCAGTAGCTGAACAGTCAACACGATCAGGCACAGGTATAACATTAAAAAAATGTTCAAGAAAGTGCCGGTTGCCATACTCAACCGCCAGACATAAAGGAGACTGATTTGCCTTGTTCTCGCAATTGCACACATGCTCCGGACCTGTATGTTCCGCCAAGAAATAAGCCATTTCATCTCCTTCACCTTTCTTCGCTGGATTTTTAGAATGCTTGGATTTAGGAGCTAGTTGTAGCGCTAATAAAGCCTCATGCAAAGCTGTGTTTCCTTCATTGTTCTTCATCCTCAGCGGGCGTGGTTCGTCTGGATGCAAATCTTTTTCATGGTTCACTAGTATTTCTGCTGTGCTAAGCATCCCAACTCTAGCGGCAACATGAAGTGGAGTGTCGCCGTGGGAGTTTGTCTGGATAATCAAAGTGGGAAATTGACCAGCCATGAGCTTGGTGAGGTCTTCATTACCAAAGCTTGCCGCCAGGTGAAGTAGTGAGTTATTTAAGGGGCCGAGTTTTTTGAAAATTATATCTGACATGTCCCGATGAGACATGTCACGGAAGGGATAACTATTGGCATTGCCATCCCTTGTGACTCGAATAAGTTCACGTTCCTCGATCATTTTCTAAGATGAACCTGCAATTAGGAAATGTAAATGCTGTTAAAACTAGACCAACCACGAGTAGAAGGTAAATGGCTTATATATGTATCAAAAGTGAAGCTTACTTTCATTTGACTCAGTGCATCAATACTTGAACTCATATTGACACTATTCTCCTAAAAAGAAGGAATGTAAAGAGACAACAAGAAGAAGAAGAAAAAAGCCAGCAGGATGGAAAAATCTTAGGTTCTGGTAACAAATCAAATGATTGTAGTTGCAACTGAATCTGAAAAGCAAGTGAAAGTTCCGAAACTGCAAATTCTCGTAACTTTATTCAATCTGAAGCAATAACTTTAGTCATATTTCTCAGGTAATTGAGAACTCAAAAATTTTGTTTAATTGCCTAGTTCATTTGCTTCTTTTACTTTAGACTAATGTTAAATGACTTAAATATAAGTGAATATTATTTTGTATAATTTCAAAGATTGGGTCTTGGCGTTGAGTTCTCTTTTTGACGGACGGGAGGGGTCTATAGTCTTGGATTTGGGGGCAGTTCGTCATGAAAATCAGAACTCTGTGAGCCAGAGATAACTAAATAAAAAAAGAGTAGCAATATTAGGTTTAGGAGTAACTTTGTAATAAGTTAACACAACAGGAAACTGAAGTAGTTGAAGAGCCTTCAGATTGAATGTAGCTAAAAAAATAAGGGACTCACTGCTTAATTTCTCTAGCACTTCACTACCGGATTCGGGAAATCAGTAGCAAAAAGGATTAATCTCATCTTTATGCTTGGAAGTTTTTTATTCGTTTATTATAATTATCATATTTTAAGCTTTTTTTTCTTTTAATCAGGTGCCATCTTGACTGAAACTTTATTATATATATAACTTTGAATAAGTTTAGTGTAAAGTATGTAGAGAGATAATAAATTTATTGCTACACAAGAAGATATTTGTAACCCGAGTTAACTCAAAAGGTAGGACAACTTTCAAATTCAAATCATGTTTCTCAGAAGTTATTAATTAAATCTTCTTGTTCGGAAATTTTCCATCTGTAACTGTAAGCTTCAACTTCTACGTTACAGTTTCTTTACTTTATTTGTATCTTGCCTTTATACTTTTCTTCTTGTTCTTTTTTTTTTTTTTTTAATAATAATAATAAAAATTGTGAATGTGCTTCACGTTGGCATCTAAGAAAGAGTAGTGACTGGATATTTGGTTGTATTTGCTTTATTCCTTGTTGAGATTCAAACGTTATATATATATGTAAAATAAAAATTGTGATGCAATGTGCATCACATTGCCATATGGCATCTAAGAAAGAGTAGGGAATGGATATTTGGTTGTATTTGCTTTATTCCTGCTGAGATTCAATGTCGGGTTTACAAGCTAGAGAATGCAAAGGAAAGAATGCACACACATTTTTTCATTATCTCAAAAAACGTTTATATACACGCTAATTACATCATTGTATATGTCACAAACATGCCTATTTTACAGAGCATTAAATGCTATCCTAGATTGTAGACATTTTTACAAGTTAATAGATTAGAGCCAAACATTCCTAAACAATTTGACATTTGTCAGTCTTATCCCTAAAAAACAGCTAAACTCTTCCGAGTAGTTGACTGTCTCTGAGAACATTAATGATGGCTCTTAATCAACGACCTCTTTCAGGTAAGATGCATAATGCTTCTGATCGCAAGCTCATTTGATCGCTTGGATATTTTCCTGTATTACTTCCAGATCGCATTACCTTCTGATCGCTTCTTCCAGATCACATGCTCATTGCGACACATGCTTATGAACACATCTACTTCGGCTCGCATCCTTCTTATCTAGCAAATCTTGTCACTAGCTTCAGATTGCAAAGCCTTTAGATCTCATTCCTCATGTTTCTAGAAAGATATCACATGGCATAACACTCCTCCTTGATATCTTTTCGGGAAACACTAAGTCTGAACCTTAAATCTTCGAACTTGGATTTGCATAATCCTATTGTCAAATTTCTGCTGCTTATTCTTCAGGTTGACAATGAACGATCTTCACTTCTTTGTTCTGCTCGGCTTCATGAACAACATCATACTTGATCTATATATGCTTTGATCCGCCATGAAACGCAAGATTCTTGGCCATAGCAATGGTAGATTGGTTGTCACAAAAGATTGTTGTTGGCTCACGTCGTTCTAGCTTCATATGCCTTAGGATCTTCCTTAGCCAAATCGTTTGATTCACTACAGCAGCTACAACGATGTATTCTACTTCTACAGTTGATTGAGCCAATGTTTCTTGCTTCTTGGACAACCAGCTAATTGCTCTTGAATTTAAGAAAAACACAAACCCCAATGTGCTCTTCATGTCATCAACTGATCCTGCCCAATCGCTATATGTATATCCAACAAAGTCGAAGTCTTTAGACCTTCTATGCCATATCTTGAGGTCTGCATTTCCTCTAACATATCGCATCACCCTTTTGTTTGCTTGCAAGTGGACTTTGCTTGGCTCATTCATAAACCTCGATAAGAGGTTAGCAGCATACATGAGATCAAGTCTGGTCGCTGTCGGATATAGTAAACACCCGATCATGCTTTGGTATCTACTTTCATCAACTTTGTAACCTCCACCATCTCTGCTCATCTTTTGGTTTAGAACCAGTGGAGTACTCATTGGATTACAACTCTCCATATTAAACTTCTTCAAGATCTCATTTGCATGTTTTCTCTAACAGATAAATATGCCATGTGGAGATATCTCCATCCCAAGGAAGAAGGTCATCTCCCCCAAATCTGTCATCTTGAACTCCCTATGCATTGCTCTCTTGAACTGGTCCACTCAATCAAGATTATTTCCAGTCACTAGCAAGTCATCAACATATAAGGAAACAATTATGAGATTGTTTTCTGATTCCTTCACATAAAGAGTATGTTCATTGGGCTTCTTGTATAACCAAGTTCACTCAAGTACTCATTTATTCAGCTATACCAGGCTCTAGGTGCCTACTTCAATCCATATAAAGCATTCTTCAACAAATAAGCTTTGTCTTTGCCCTCTTTAATTATAGAGCCCTCTAGTCGCTCCACATATATTTCTTCATCCAAGTAGCCATTCAAAAAGGCTGACTTGACGTTTAGCTGATATATCTTCCATTTGAACTGAGTTGTAAGTGCGATGAGAAGTCTGATCATGTCATGTCTTGCAACTGGAGCAAACATATCAAAAAAATCTACTCCATATTGTTGAGAGTAGCCATTGGCTACAAGTCTAGCCTTGAATTTGTTGATTGATCCATCAGGATTTAACTTTATTTTGAAGATCCATTTGACTTGGATGATCTTTCGATCACTCAACCAACCTCCAGTTTTCATTTTTTTCAATCATATTCAACTCCTCCTTCATTGCATCTCTCCATTCTTTTGACTTCGCAGCTTCAGCATAGCTCATAGGTGTTAGTGTATGCCCTAGGAACCAATCGTGTTGTCGGTTTCAGAACATTATCTCTTGTAAATGTATTATGAATAAAAGAACATTGTCTCTGTGGGGGTACGCTCTCCAGACCGCTATGCACATCCTTAATAGGGTCCCGTTTAAAACTGTCCAGAAAACACCGTATGAGATATGGTATGGAAAACGTCCAAGTCTGAATTATATGAAGATTTGGGGCTGCCCAGCTTATGTTAAATTGGTTAAATCTGATAAGCTGGACGTTAAATCGAGAAGGGTCGGTTCATTGGATATCCTAAAGATAGTTTAGGATATTGCTTTTACTTCCCAGTGATCAAAGAGTTTGGATCAGTAGAAATGCGCGCTTCCAGAAAAGTTCTTGGAGGAAGGCGGCGTTGGAAAATATTGAACTCAAGGAAGAGTTCGAAGAGCCAAGAACCGAGATTGCTGAAGATGAACATCCACTCAGCGAACCTCAGTATCAGATACTATGGTTCCAGTACGAAAGTCTTCTAGAATGTCGAAACCTCTAGAGAGATATGGGTTCCTACATGAGCAAGATTTTGAATCTTACTTAGTGGAGTAGATGATCATGGTGATGATCCTAGAAGCTACGAAGAAGCAATACTGATAGAGATTCAGGAAAAGGCTGGAAGCGATGGATTCTGAGATAGAATCAATGCATGCCAATCAAGTATGGTCGCTTGTGGATCTACCTGAGGGAATAGTTCCTATAGGTTGAAATGGGTCTACAAGAGAAAAGTTGGCAAGGATGGGGAGGTAGAGACCTTCAAAGCTCGACTGGTGGCGAAAGGTTATACTCAGAAACAAGGATTGGATTATGAGGAAACCTTCTCGCCTGTAGCTATGATTAAATCCATCCGTTATATGCTAGCCATCGCAGCATACCATGATTATGAAATTTGGCAGATGGTGTCAAAACAGCTTTCCTCAATGGTTTATTGAGGAAAACATCTATATGGAACAACCGATAGGTTTTGTATCCTCTACTGAAAAACATAAGGTATGCAAATTCATCGATCCATTTATGGATTGAAGCAAGCTTCAAGAAGCTGGAACATTCGATTTGACGACATAATCAAATCGTTTGGTTTTGTCAAGATCCGGATGTGCCCTGCGTATACAAATGGGTTAAAGATCATGCCATCACGTTCTTATTTATATGTAGATGACATACTTTTGATGGGAATGATATAGCAGGATGACAGAGGTTAGGTTTGGTCGTCCAAAACCTTCTCGATGAAAGACTTAGGGAACGACATATGTCCTTGGCATTCGTGTCTATGAGATAGAACGAAAGGGTAATTGGATTATCCCAAAATTGTACATAGAGAAAATGCTAAAAAGATTTAGCATGGAGAACTCTAAGGAGGTCTTTGCCCTTCACTCACGGTCTTTATCTTTCTAAGGAGAGGGGTCCAAAGACCGATGAAGAGCGGCAGCAGATGCGTAATGTGCCTTATGCGTCTGCCGTAGGTAGCTTATGTACGCAATGCTATGTATAAGACCTGATATAGCTTATGTGTAAGTGTTACGAGCAGATTATATCAAACCAGGGGAGAAACATTGGTCGGTTGTAAAATCATCCTTAAGTACTTGAGAAGAACTAGGATCTAGTTCTGAGTTATGGATGTTCCAAGTTAAACATTCAAGGATACTCAGATTCGATTTCCAATCAGATATTGATGTAAAAGTCTACGTCAGGGTACATTTTTATATGTATGGAGGTGCTATTAGTTGGAAAAGTTCCAAACAGACACCCACAGCTGACTCCACTACAGAAGCTGAATACATTGCTGCTTCGGAAGCAGCAAAGGAGGCTGTTTGGATGCGAAAGTTTGTAATTGAACTTGGTGTGGTTCCGAACATGGCTTACCCAATAAGCATGTTCTGTGACAATACTGGAGCTATTGCACAGGCAAAGGAACCAAGGGCACACCAAAAATCCAAACACATTCAGCGTAAGTATCACATTTTGGAGATTCGTTGGAGCTGGAGAGATTTGATCTGAAGACTCCTCATCAGAAAATGTAGCTGATCCACTGACTAAGGCGATGACACTGAAGCAATTGGACCATCACTTGAGAAGATGGGTATGAGATACAACATCGAATGGCTTTAGTGCAAGTGGGAGTTTGTTAGTGTATATTAGTGTAGCCTAGAAACCATTCGTGTTGTCGGTTTCAGAGCTTTTGTCTTGTATCTATATATATCATAAATAATAGAAGAAAGAGTTCTTCAATTCATATATGTAAATGGCTTCCTTTATTCAGTCATGCATTTAAAATAAAGTATGTATTAATTGTCCAGATGATTTCATAATAGGTAAATGAGTTATCGAAAAGGTTCCTTACGGAAGCAATATAAATTTGGCACATATTGCACAGTAGGCATACCGGATGCTTCCGAAAGATATCATGAGTTGATATAAGTACGGATGACGATGATAGTCATGTCACTGGGGCATTGGTATGGATTAACGGTTGGTGAACGTTTTTCGAACGTGACCGAATAACGACAAATCACTTGGAAAAGCATGTAGTCAATGTTTCGTTTGGTTATATCAGTGCACGATGTAGTCTTTGACCTGAGACATTGTAGTCGGATCTGATATGGATCGTATGGTTCATACGGTGTATAAGTACGAGACTAATCATGTTTCGTACAATAAAGCCTATTTGGTCATGCGTTGTTCATATGCGGAAACGAACGATGGTCAAGAGGAGATCCATTGACTCGGAAATATAGGATCGGAGTACCGCTGACTCCATCCGGATTCGAGTTCCTAGACGAACATCGATAAATGTCAGAAAACTGAATCTCGCCAGAGTCTATTATTAGTCATACAAAAGTAAGTTTGTGATGACAAGTTTCGGACATATTGATCGATAATTCGATAGAAGATCGAGTTTAGGATTTTGACGTTCCATGAATCCTACCGATTAGGATATCTCAATGGAGGGACTTTACCTGCATGGTACGTATGATCTGAAATGGTTCGATGAAGTATTTCTTCTTGTGGTTTAGGGACTATGGCACATTGCTAGATGTTTACCATAGTCGTTGGGCCTTCGGACAGGTTTTCGGATTCATCCAGAATCGGCCCACGGCTAATCCACGGTGGACCTACATGGTCACACCAATAGCCTTGAGAAGTTAGAGAGGATGAGAGAGAGAAATGATTATTCGAAGGGGCTAGCACCTCCGAGGGTAATAACGGGATTTCATGGTAATAGTTACATAGAAAACTATTTGTGACATTTTAAGGATTAAAATGGTCAAGCAATAATTATATATTTAATTTTATATCTTAAAGTGTTAAGATTAATGAGATGAACAAAATAACCTTTTAATAGTTAAAGGTAAAAGGGTAACTTTATGGGTTGTCATTGTAAACTAGTTTAGTTTACATAGGCCCTTGAATAATATGATTATTCAAAGGGCAGCTAAATAATTCATGGGGTCCCTTTATAAATAAGATTTTATTGGGCTTTGAAGTGAAAAATAATAATTGCAAAATTGCCCAAGTATATATAATGCAAAAGGTTGCATTTTTGTTCATAACACACATTGTTCACTCAAACAAAACCAAAACTCTCTCTAAAAGCCACGACCACTATCTAAACCTCTCAAGGTGGTGTTAAAGTGTAGAGGTTTCATCCTTTGAAGCTAATCTTCATCAATCCAAAGCAAAGGAGTAGGTATAATCTCATATCCAAGCTTTGCATGTAAACCGTTTTTTTTAATCCATGCTTTCATGCTTTCATTCTCCATCTCCACCACTCTTCATGCATGCTGGATCTTCACCATGGTAATAAATTAAGTTTTATACCATTTTAATTCAATTGAATCAATTAAAACAAAAGCAATCTCTCACTTTCTCTCACTCTCGGCTCTCTCATCTTTGGCTTGGGTGGACTTTATTTTGAGTTTCTTCATTCTCTTTTGAATAGAGATGGCAAGGGCCCGACATTTCGGGTACCCGGCTCGGCCCGGCCCGAAAGGGGCGGCTTTACCCGAGTTGGCAGGCTTGGGCTGGGCCTGGGCTTGATTTTAAGGCCCGACCTCGGTACGGGCCGGGTATGGTACATCTTTAGGCCCGCCCGAAAATTTTAGTATAATTTACTAATTTACCCTATACTATATATTTAATTACAATATTATCCTATATATATCTATTTTTCCCAACCATAACCTCAATTTTTATCCCATATTGAAGGTTT